GGGGGGATGAGAGGAGGAGGGGGAAAATAAGTCACTCTTCCAATGTAGCAGAGACTGGTGAATTTCACTCACAGCGATAAAAAAAAATAAGAACGTCAGAGCTTGTAAACGGGATTCTCAGACCTTAATTTGTTCAATGTTTTTGGTAATTATAAGCATTGGTGATTAAGATCAATTTTCTGAAGTTTTTCTGAAGATTTATTTCTTTTTGCTATCACTTTTCAGAGACCTGTTCGAGAGCAGGTCCGAAGGGTTCCAAGGGCGTCATGGGACCCCGGGGACCGCCTGGACCCAAAGGCAGGGACGGGGTCGGGGTAGGAAAGTACTTGAATACTCATTGCTTTATTGATCTTCACACAGTCATTTAACTATGTGACCTCGCCTTTGAAAAGCTCTACTTTGTAATGCAAAACAGCTCAATTTTATCATTTTACTATTTGAGACATGTGCGAAGAGCTAGTACTGGAATATGAAAACAAGTGAAAGCAAGGGAATGTATATCTGTAGTTTTATGACGATGCCGTGGGTTGCAATTGCTTATACTTGGAAGAGTTAAATAACATAAGTAAAGAAACTATCCATTTATTTACAGATTTACCTATTTGAGGACCGCAGCGCTATGGACGCCGTTGCATTAGAGGGGCTACTAGCTTATAGGGTTGACACTAAACTGTTGTATTACAGAGATCACGTGGCTTGGAGACCCATCAAGGTACACGTGACACGAAATGATCTTTTTTATTTACGTATACAGGGAACGTTTGATTAATACCGTACATGTAAAAACCGAAATTGCATTAAGAATTAAGATTATTCTGCCCCTTTCTCTCCATGTTACCACTGAAATGATGTCGAAATTGTTTTATTATATTATACTGACATTACATTGCTTTTGTATGGTAGGGGGTATGGATGTTGCATTAATGATATTGTTATTGTAATGTACTGGGGGCATTGATATATTGTACTGTTATTGTATTGAAGGCTAGTCGGTGCGGTGACGGCGTGTTAGATCGAGAACTGGGAGAGGAGTGTGACGACGGCAATGAGGACACGGGAGATTTTTGTGTCAGTAAGTGTGCTGTCCATACACTGTAGCCCGGGTCCCTTTTCAGAATTACTGCTGTTTTCACACAAATATACAGATTTACCGCTGCCTGCCTCCGCCCGACACAATGTACATCTTTTTTTGCACAATCCATCAATAAAGGAATGATTTGGAATGGCAATTTCCTAATCGAACAAAATTTTCTAATTTTATCAAACAATTTTTGTAGGCAGGATGTTCATTACACGGCAAGAAACACACGCACACTTTTTTTTTGACAAAATTCTCGACGGAATGCGGCTGTGAACTACTAAAAACATGCATTGCATGTCGGGACAAGCGCATTCTGTTGTGAAGTGAGCATGACAAAGATACTGACAGATATACAAGGCCTCTGTCTTGTTTTTACCTTCATAGTACGCTATTTTATTTGCTGTGTATATGAAACAGGTTTTCTCTTTTGCCAGTTTCAGAGTTAAAAAGACGTTTGAAAATAAACGTTTTATCTCATAGTTTATCATCCAAAGATACACACACTTTACCAACAATTTTACACTTAATAAAACGCAGTCTTTTGCTCCTGATTTCAACTTTTAAGTAATGAAAGTCTTAGTTTTTACCACGAAATTGACAAGTGGAGATGAGTATTCAACTATGGAAAATGTGTTTCAGACTGCCGGCTGTCCTATTGCGGAGACGGTTTTATAAACAAATACGCCGAGCAGTGTGACTGGATCCACTTCAGGCACATCCAGTGTTCCTCAGTACACAAGAGGTACAACTGATGTCTGCAGCTAGCTTCAATATTGTAGATGACGCAGATGTTTTATACCATATTTTATTTTAATTCTAGTTTTTATAGCGAAATATGTTATTTGACCCATATTGTCAAAATGGCAATTTTAGATTTGTTGAAACAAATAATCTCGTTCCTTTTTACAGCATGACGGGGCTAGTACTGTGCAGTCGCCAGTGCAGATGGGTTTACTCTAGATGTCACTACGTGGTCTGAAGAAACAAGACAAGCTGACCTTAACGAAAGACAGTATAGGCTATCTCTGTTTTAGAAGCGAGGAGGGAGAAATGGTCATGCGTACTCGCGTAGGCACGCTCTCAATGTTAAGTTGTTATATTTACAGCTTATGAAAATACGTACATGACCTTTTACCCGTACAGCTGTCATCTTTCAAGTAAACTAAAATATTCTTTTCTGAATGATATACATGTATTTTGCGTCAGAAATGTGACGCAGAGGCTGTTGGGATGGATTTGTACTTGAACACGCTTACAGAGACCGACTGAAACTGAACATAGTACGGTATCTACTGAGTACATGTGTAATATAATACTCTAGTATCTTATCAATAAGATGAGCAATGATATAATGTAATGTACGCACAATCCGTCATGATCTGCGTTACATAAAAGGATCCAACTCTGCTACTGAGAAGGTTGACATTTTGCACAAGTCGGAAACGTACATAATGCATAATCTGATCATGTTTTAGCATACGTAGCCAGGGTACATCGTCATTTTTCAAGTAGAGATAGGTTATTCTAGAAGACAGTGACCCTCTTGCGTAACTTTCTTATATCATAGATTAATGTTGTTTTCCTCCCATATTGATGGGTGCTATAGTATAAGACAGGGGTTTAAAAGTAATGGGACAAATAAAAATTATGAAAACATTACACGAAATGTGTGCCTAATTGTCTCGATCCAGGGAATGAATCACTTTTTTTACGAAATTAACTACATATTATTAAATACCAGTACATGAAAAAAGGAAAACAATCAATTTAGACTCTGTATTTTCCCTCAAAATCTGTTTTAAACAAAACACTGTTCACCGTCAGCTTTAACCGAGAAGCGTCGATGGAGCGGACTCCGAGCACTTGTCAAACTGTGGAAACCGCCAGGCGGCGCCCGGTACGACAGGCCAAGACGAGACCGACAGGGATTTCAGGTCGTATGGCTCTTTATCTTTCCAGTCCATGAACATGTGTTGGTCACGCTGATTTCCTCTGCCCACCCTGGAAGATGAAATTTATTATTTGTTATCTCTGCGCGAGACATTTTTTACAGATTTTTCTTTGGGGTATAAAATGCTCATTAGACCTTTATAGTTCTAAAATATATAATTTCCCTGGACTCTTCAACAATTTTCCCTTTCTCGCGACTGCATATGCGGCCTTAAACCTCAGAGAGAAGTACAACCTGTAAATCCATTTTCTAAGCTTCAATAACTTTCAGGTGGATAATGTGTTGACTGTCTTATCACTTACTTGATATGTCCATCTTCCCAAGAAATCCAGAAATATTTGAACTTTCTTGGACTGACAATTCCAGGAGTTTTTGCTGAGGCAAGACAGCTTCCCTGAAGCTTTTTCCTAATGCAGGATTTCTGGTCCCCCCAGCCCCCAAGGACGATCTCGTAGGCTTCGGTTTGGAACTACAAAATGGAGAATTTTTATTATACATTGTTGAAGTACATATATTACACCCGTATTCAGACAGACAACTATAAAGTGCACATGTACAAATCAGCATTGTTATTCCATAGAGTAGCATCCAAACATGATTAGATCGATGTACACACACTGGACAATAGAACTGTCACCCCCTGAAGCAGAGTAATCAAATTTATTAGCCTGAAGAGGCGGAATATAAGCAATGTCAGAATATCGATACAGTTGAATTGTTCAGTCGGAACCGTTTCTTTTGTGAAATTTGATGTTAATAAAATGATACCAGGAGCATATCATTCCACAGTCATTTATTTCCCCCAAAGTATTGGTTCAGTAGGGGTGACACTTCCATTGTCCAGTGTGTGTAGGCCTATTGCATGATGAAGTAAAGGAATATGTTACGGATTTTGTTTGTGCATTGTGCCTTGTTCAATTGCCACTAACAAAATACCCAGACTGTTTGAAAATGTCATGGGGTGATAGGTGATGCGTTTCATCAAAACAGAACATGCACTTGTACTGAATTTAATCAATTTAATGCAATACACCCGGTCTTTCGAACCATGAATGAATTTATCACTCCATGAAAAGACATAATTTTTTTTTTTGATGAAGCACAGTGACTGACAAAGCTTAACGTTAAGGACAGGCCACGATTGCATGTACATGCAGGTACAGGTACGAGACAAATGGCAAAGTGATATTCGAACCTTGGAGGACACGTTCTTGGTTGGGTGCAAAGCGATATGGACGTCACCACAGGACCGCACTACAAAGGGCACCCAAGTGTCATTGGCTCCGATGTACTTCACTACTTTGTAGTTGTACTTGTTGGGGCTGTTAAATGCGCACCATGACAAACCTGCAAGAGAAAAAAAAACACACATTTCACAAGTTTATGTTCAAAATTATGTATAGCCTAATTCCCAGTGAAAATCCTTAGTGTGTGAATTGTTTTTAAAATAATTTTTGTCTCCATCTTACCTCCACTCACAAAAGTCGCCAATAATGCGGCAGCAAGAATATCCCGTACCATCCTTCTGGCTGTTTGCTGCCGACTTGTCCGGTGATGGGACTGTTGAGTGCGTAGCACACCTGTTACATGTGTACATTTATACGCCTGACTGTACTATATAATCGTTCTACTTATTACATGTGTAACACGATGGATCTCGGGGATAAGCACAGTGTATTACGTGCTCCCTTTGGCTTCGGAGGAATACTGAACAAGACCCCCCCTCCATCTCCCCCTCCCAAAGCAGCAGTGGCACATGGTGCGACACCCCCCATTCCTGTGCCATACCCGTTAAATATAACACTAAACTTGTATCCGTCTGCTATTTTACATTTGGCAAGTGAGGCAAAAAAAAAAAAAATGTCGTGCCCCTCCTACCCTTCCCTGTCTCCGCCTGCACACCGTTACGTCACTCGTCAGAATCGTGTGAGCGGACCAAATGACGTCACAACAAGATAATCGGGTTACCAATGCACTAAGTCCAAGACAGCTGGTATAGTCCGTATTCTTGACGTGGTCTGAATCATGCTAACTGGAATATGACGATCCCCTGTTTTATCCGGGGAAGGGGGGTGGGGTACCATTGCTGAATGCCTTCTACGGTACCGGGGGCACTTGCAAGCACATTATTTGTGCCGCCTATATGATACATGAACTAGACAGTGTCTACACAGGGAAAATTGAAACACTTATGATATATCGGGAGGAAGGGTTAGGGTACCTGTTACACTTTTTAGAGGTTCCAGTCTCAGCTTTTTAATCACACGCACACACATTCACACACACACACACATACACACACACACACTCACACACACATTTTGCCAATAAAGTCACGTACACCTCCGAACACCATCTTGATTTAAAAACTGTTCACCAGACTCAACAAAAACTTGTATACGTAGTTACCAGTTTGCAGGGTCCTATTAACGAGAAATATAAATAAATAAATAAATAAATAAATAAATTAATTAATTAATTAATTAATTAATTAATAAAATAAAAATAGATAAATATTCAATAATAAATAGTCTAGTCGTTGAAACTAATAAAGCCCTAAAATAAAGCCCTAAAAACAGTCTACTGGGTACTAAGAGGCATTGGGCAATACACCTCAACCGAATCTACAACCTCCGTACATTAATTTTTTCAGTGGAATAAACAAGCCCAGTGCATGATTTCGGCGAACAACCAAAGGGTTCATATATGATATACCCACGTTCATGTACAATTGTATATGTACATGTATTCATGTGTCCTGGTGACATTTGACTAGGGCGTTTTTTTGTATTCTGAGAGAAGAACTGATGTGAAAGCAGCCACCGTCATAAGTTTTCCAACATGTATGATCTGTGCGACCTTCTGGTTACCAGTCGACAATCGATCGCTTCTGTCCTGTTTTCAATTATCAAGTGGTTTCTGAAAGGTTGTGTATCGATCACTCGGCAGACGAAAAGCGACTGGTAACTATAGCTTGAAGGTGGTCTTTAGAAATTGCAGATACCATACTGCAACCTTGTTGCAACCGGTGTGCGACAGGTTGCCGATCAAAGTATGCCAAAGCTTCTTATTCAGCTTGCAAAGTGATCGCAGGCGACCGCCAGATTTTGTGTTTGCTAAAAGGTTGCAAAAAGTTGCAAGCGTAGTGCGACGAAGTCTTAAAATAAGCCATTATTATGAAACGCGGATAATACGTTTGTCTAACTGTATGTGGACAATTAGTTTAGCAGATCCATCCTTTGCTCGTCAGTCCTCTGTATCACCGCAAGGAAAAAATGGTAGACGACGCACGTAAGTACACTGCATGGTAACTTTTTTTTTTTACGGCCCTTTTTTTTACATGGACATTTTCCCACGGTTACGTTTGAAGACTGTGAGTTCTTTAAAGACTCTGTCACCGCCATACATTGACAACTGAAACATTTTTATTTAGCATTAAACCTTTCGGTACACGGTTATTTTGACTTTAAGCTTGTCTGGGGGGAGGGGGGATCTCTGTAAGTCATTGTTTCTTCTTCTGATGCAATATGACTACACGATCGGACTTTTTCTCTGGGTATTTTGATATGACCAAGAATCAGTTTTGTAATTAAGATAAATCTCTTTATGACGTTCTGCAAACTAGAACAAGGTAATTTTTTTTTTTATAATTTATCTTGGAAATCACTTTGTAGCTATAGTCACAGCGGGGTAATTCATTTCAGAGACTGGTTCATCTTTTAACACCCTAGGTTCTAGATTTCAGTATTGCCAGCTCGATCTTGATTTCATATACAACATTGGTCAAAAAGGTTGCCCCACCCCCATTTCCATGTTCTTTTATTTACAAATGATCACCTCACAGCTGTAAATTGTTAGAAATATTGCTTTTTATTACAGATACCGTGTCTAACATGATTAATGGTTAAAACTACGGTTGTCACCCAAAGGAATATTTTTTTTATGATAAAGTGAAATTGCACTGTATTATCATGAACTTCGATCATTTTAATAAAATCTTAAGTTCGTTCTGTGTAGGATTCGGTCTTGTTTTAGTGACGCACCCCCCCCCCCCCAAAAAAAAAAAAAAAAAAAAAAAACCCTGATCATCAACAGTAAATTTATTGCTATTCACGGAAAGATTAATGTTGCTCTGCGACTAGTACTTGCTCGAAGCAAAATAATATGATTGGAATATTCACATGATTATATGCGGGCTGTGCATGCATATAACTAGCTTCTGAGATTCAGTGTCTGAGATTCGTCGTATTTTATATGAATAGTGGAGAATATTCTTTATTTTGTTCAGTTAACCAATAGCCATTATCATAAAAAGTAATTAAAAATTTTAAAAAGATTTTAAAGAGCTACATATACCGGTCATAAATTGCAGGGTTTAAATAGATACTGCAGTAATTGGGTTTTGTTATATTAGCAAGCAGTTTCTATTGATTTGAAAAAAGTCCCGAATTTAAGGCATTAAAAAAAGCACAGATTGATAAGCGTCCCCACATATCTTGTTCATTCATCCCCAATTTCAATTTCACGGAGGACAATGGATAACGGATAGTGGATAACGGATAGTGGATCCATTACTGTGGTTTGTTGCTTTCAGATAATCGGCCTAAGTTTGACTGCTTGTTGGTTGACTAAATAACTCAAAGGTTTTCACAAATTTTAATAAAACCTCCCGGATAAATAGTAACGCAGGAGGAAAAGACTTGAACACAAGCCGGGTCTTCCAATAGATTTGAAATGAATTCTTTTTTGATATTTTGTTTTATTATTATTTGCAATATTTCTTGGTGGAAGTCCGCGCTCTGTGATTACTCCAGTTTTGATAATGGTATTTAACACGCAGGATTATCATTTAAAAAATCACCGAATAGCAGAGACATGCATGCGTTCATACATTAATCGCTTTTCTTAATACATTTGCGTAATTGTATTTAGTGCTCGTAACGCCTGCAGCATTCATTACATATAATGTCTGGCATTGCTAAGGACTCTCATCGGTATTTTCCTGCACACTTTAGAACAGAGAGGGGGCCTAAAACCACGACAACACTCTGAAGTATAAAACCAAAGGTAATGCACTATATCACTAGTAATTTTCTAACCAAGTGTTACACATCACGGTCAGATTTTCAAGTTTACATTGATGGGTATCTAATTTTTTCTGTTGGAAGACGGTCAAAATTGGAGGATGAATCAACAAAGATAATTTGGAAGACTGTCAGTAAATAGCTCTGGATCCGCCCCTGACATGAGAGATGAAATGTCCAGAATTGCATACAACCATTGGCAAAACTAGAACAATGGTGTAACTAAACGTTTGACTGGAAACTTAAGTGTTCTGGCACACGTAGGCCTCGTGGGTCAACCCCTGTGGGCGATATAAACCCTCTGGATATCACTGGATGAAATGGATGATGGTCTAACACGACGTATACTTTGTATTACGTTTACAGAATTGAGGCCGTCCACTAGTTTTAGATACAGGCTAAGAAATTCAAACAGAGAAAAGACGCTTGTACATGTATGTTTTTTAAAATATTGGTAAAGCGTAATTTGAAATTGGCTTAATAACCACTGGATAATATATTGAAATTGTTGATGTTATACGCGCCTGTTACAAGCTCTCATGAAAGGGGGCACGTCCACTGACAATAGTACTCGCTTCTTCTGCATTCATTATTTTGTTATTTTGTTAAAAGAATACTTGTTAGATATTTATACCTCGATAAGTTTAGCTGTAAGGCCTATGTGAATCGGAATATTAAAGGTTTTGATTTTTACATAAACTCATTTGCAACTTGTTTGGGGAGAAAATTTGCGAATTTGCGGGATATTAAATAGTCCGATTTTATGGTCCGTTCCCAGTGTTCTATGTAGATCGATTCAACTCCACGGAAACTCAGGCTACCTCTTAAATCTTACGTGACATGTTTATGTAGCATATATGATAAAGTCACATTCGTGAAACTAAGGTGCGCAGAAAAAAAATCACATGATGTATGGTATTCATTGATACCGGCATGATATTTATTCGTTCTACAACCTTAATTACGTTGATGTACCTGCATACTTTCTTATATGCAGTCTACGTCTTCGAAACTGCATGATAAATCAACTGTGTTTTACTTGCTCAGATTAAGTAAAGTCGCAGATCTCTACTGTGAGTAAGAATTATCCCAGGGGTTCCGAAGCATCCGGAAGATTCTTTCAAAACAGTAACAGTGTAGCTGGGTAAGTGAAATTGAGTCAAACAAACTTATTCAAGTAAAGTGGGAGGCAAGAATAGTCGTGGAGGGTTCCATGGAAATACTCTGAGATATGTAGTCTAAAACGAAGCTGTTGGCACTTAGTGAAGGCACGATGTTGGGCTAACTTTTATTTTTATAAAACCTTTTACTCAACCGTAAGGTGGAACGATATGAATTTAGCAAGTACTCCACCGTGCGCATGCAGCGAGGCAGCGGGAGCTCCCACATCACAGAGTGTGCGAGAAACTGGACACTTTCTGGACAGATTTGACAAATTAACAGCGAGCAATGTTCAGGCGTGCCTCCTGGTCACACGCCTCCAATGTTAAAGCCAAGGCTACATTTGCCATGCGTTGTCTGTACGGTGCTCTTATACTGGCTGCAAATCTCTTTTTCGTGAGGCGTGTGTGCGGAGGCATGCGATGGCCGTGCGAAATCGTTCTGAATCGTTCGGTTCGGAGCTTCTACGGTTTTGTCAAACTAAAACTTTGAACAATTTTTAAAATCGTAATTCCTGGGCAGTACCATGATCGTAAATGGCATCGCACAGCTTCCGTATTGACATTGTTCGGTACAGTTGCGATGATTGTGATTCGCCTTTGGTGGTTTTAGGAGACAAAACATTAGTAAAAATGTTAGGAAACCTATAATAATTCACCTGCATAAATTTTAGTTATGCGCTTGGTTGTTCTGAGCAGTTGGGGGGATTTAAATCGTAGGGGGCTGTAACGCACGGAAGGCATTCGCAACTGTACATGTATAGGGACTAAGGGGGCATTCAGAATGGATGATGCGAGTACTAACTGATCCGCCGTCTAAATATGGCCGACCTAAATTCAAAAGCGATGCCGCTAATTCCATGATGGTCTCCTCGCCTCCACACGTGCCGTGGCTGCAGAGGCCTAGCAGTTAAACCTCGGATTCGAGATTTAATGGCGCGTGTGTAGGCGGGGAGACCATCAGTGGCATCGCTTTTGAAGTGCAATCGGCCATATTTAGTCGGCGGATCAGTTAGTACTCGGATAATATATTCTGAATGGCCCCCAAAAGGGCTCCACACAATCACTTTCAACCAACAAATCGACTTTTTTCTTCATGACCTCGTTCTGAATGTGCTCTAAGGGGCTTTCAGAATAGATGATCCGAGTACTAACTGATCCGCCGACTAAATATGGCCGACCACACTTCAAAAGCGATGCTGCTGATTCCCGACGGCCTCCCCGCCTCCACACACGCCATTAAACGGATTAAATATTGACTAGTCCCCTGCAGCGTCGGCGCGTGTGGAGGCAGGGAGACCATCATGAAATTAGCGGCATCGCTTTTGAAGTGGGGTCGGCCATATTTAGTCCGCGGATCAATTCGTTCTGAATGCGCTCTAAGACAGAGTTACCCAAACAGGAACACCGCGCCCGGGCGACACGGACAGTGAACCTGATTAAATTTGATAATTTGAAGCCTGTGAAAGAGATTATAATTGAACGAACGCAGCACGGAAAGGGCAGTACGGGCAGTATACGGGAAATTATTACACAGATAAATAGCACTCAAATTACATATATAGATATCCATTGTTATTACACATATTTAGTTTTATGTCAACTGCTCACAGCATTGATTGTACGCTAGCATCATACTATAAGTATTGTATACATGACTAAGACATAGAAATTAATTATGTATTATTCTCTTTGTGAAACGAACCTTAATATTGACAGTAATAATTCATACCCATAGACATCACTAAGTGGAAGATGATTATAAGCAATATCCTTGGGACATAAGTTTACTCTGCAATTTAACTCTTTCAATTTATGTAGTGGAATATCACCCAATTAGCTGATCAACTCGCAGATTAACCGAAGCCTTCTGCTTATCTCTCACTCACTTAAGTCGCACCCTGCTAAAATGTGATTTCTTCCTCATAAACAATTGTATACAGGGCAAGTCGATAAAAAACTGCACATTACATCTGCTATGAAGGTTCTCTTTCCTTGTCTCACTGATCCAGGTGCATAATTCGTCTTAAAATCTGAATTGAAGATTGTAGACGATTTTTTTAAATTTCCATTTCGAAGTACCTTGAAGGAGGACCAAAAAGCATTCCCAGACAACAGACTCTTAAATTGTTTATATAATCCAGATAAGCAAAGGACTTTGGCCTGTTAGTACTTTGAGTATACGTTATACATGCACCCTTCTTTTTATTTGGGGATGTAATATATATATATATATATATATATATATATATATATATATATATATATATATATATGGTATTCAAAGTCAATAAGGGGCTGGAGTTCGTCTCCTCGTGCAGATTTATGAATAAATTAACAAAGTAAGAACCTGGTGAAACAAGTTTGATGGGTCCCATGCTTAACCTTGTTATTCATTCTTCTAGATGTTTGAGAGACTGAGGTTATAAGATATTCTAAAGAGTTTCGTCGCGTCAGCGGTTTGGCGTTTTAATTTTCATTCCATAGTTTAAATCATGTTATAATTTACATACATGTCTTTAACACAACGTTAACTATATATTCTACGTTCCATGGTTAATGCATACTTTTCTTCACTAAAAAAATTTATTACCTAAGCCAACAAAGGAGGTTATGTTTTTTTCATCGTCGTTGCTTTGTCTATTTGATCGTGTGTCTGCTTGTCAGTGGACAATATACTATATCTCGAGCAGTTCTTTCCAAATGTTGGGGACATTATCGAGATTGACAGTTTTTTTAATATTCCGGATACGAAGAAGTTATTACAACTTTGACTAAATTTGGTCCCTGCTATCTTTTTTGATAAAATTGTCATTTTCTTTTCTTTTCTTTCATGTCTGCGCTAAGGGCTCATTTCCATTGAAACTATCGGTCTCCATAGATCGATCCAACTCTGCATGGACTCGCTGAAAGCAATCAGTTTAACAGGTTAACACACCTCCTCTTCTGTCCAAAGTTATCGTATGATCACCAGCATTTATGTGTTCTACACAAGGCCAGTAGGTGGCGCGTTAATATGAAAAACTGACTGCATTCAACGAAAGTCCTGGTGTAACGAAACTGAGGGTCCGTGAAATAGAAAGTCCGCCCTCCAATGGTTAGGGTTAACCTGACCTAAGCTGGGTCAAAATCTAGGGCGTGGCTTACGGTACCTGTACAAATGAATGGAAAGGGACTCTGTATCGTGGAGGGCTCTCTGTCACGTTAAACCTCAGAGTTGAATCGATCTTCCGGTACGTAGACCGCCAGTGTCAATGGGAACGAGCCCTTAGAGTCTTAACATTGACAAGTATCAGAAGGCAAAGAAAGTCGCGCCGGGGGCGGGGTTGAAAGGGTGAAAGAGGAAAAGTAATTTCATGGTTTCACGATAGTAGTGTCAGTTTGAAATCTGCATGTATATAGATAACACAGAAAAGTTTCTTGTAGGACTGTCAATATCAATGACGAGTCCAGGATTTTGTTAAGAGGTTGGTGGGGGTGGTGTTAGGATTAATAAATCCAAAACATACGGTACAGGATATAAATAAGGGCAATATAAATATAACATAAAGCAAACAAGTATGAACAATATTTTTGTTATATCTTGTCACAAATGCTATATTTTTTATATTTTTTGCGGGATGGTGGGGGGGGGGGATAAAGGCAGAGCCCCCAAAGGTTCAAAGGTGGGGTTTGCCTCTGTGGAAATCCGCCACTGATTATTGACATGTTACATGCAATAATCTTAATTTTTTCTATGCAAATACTTATTTTCGTTTCTATATTAGCATTAACAGCTACTGGTATGTCCGGACGGGGAATATGGAAACTCTTGGCGATTTTTGTAGTCGTCTTGCTGGTGGGGTTTTCCGTCCTGTGGATGCGTGAAGGTGTGTTTTTTTTAAAAACAGGTTTCTAATGTTAACATTTTGGCAGTCCTATAGTTTTGGCTCAAGTAAACATTAAGGTTGATGCATATAATAACATAAAGCAATTCTCTATTGCCAAAAGTTTAGGATTATATTTCTAACATTTATAATTCAGCGAAAGATATGGGCACCCTTAGATCTCTATTGAGAAATGGCGCAGTCAATAACAATTGGCTAAATGTGAAATTGGTAAGCATATTTTCAGGTACATGTAACCCCCCTCCCTCTCTCTCTCTCTCTCTCTCTCTCTCTCTCTCTCTCTCGGAAGAACCTGCTCAAACAGTCATTAACAAGGTATTTAAAATTGTTTAGTTATGCTACCATGATAAATGGTTGGCATTTTGTTTTCATGCGAAAGTACATATTTCATTTCTGTGCTCTTCGTTTCCGATATTTTAACTTAAAAATTCTGGCGCGTTAAAATATGAGAAGCTCTCGAAGTGTGATATTAGCACTTTATAATACACGTTGTTTTATCTCTTTAAATATCTGTTATGTTAAGAAGAGTTCAATGTTATACCTGTATTACTACACATGCGTGCATAATGCATTTTATCTCTCACCTTGTAAATATTTAAGATTAATTCTAAGAACAGCTGTAAAAAATTTAAAAGCGGAAAACTTACTTCTGATGCATTTGTACTTACAATTAAAATGATAATTTCGATCCACACGGGGATGGAGGACCTAACTTTCATCTTTCTTTTCAAGGCGAGAGAGAAACACCAACTTAGAAAAGCATCAACCATAAAACCTACTCCGCGGAAAACGTTCTACAATCTAGCAGACGACATTGACTATTCAAGAGAAGCCGTTCCGAGACTGTCGAAGCCTGGTGCAATATCAGATAAGATTGAACTAGACTATTTCAGGTACACACTATGAAACGTGCGTTGGACTATAATAAGTCTGAAACAAATATTGAAATTGAACTCAAAAACGGTTAAATGGATCTTTGTTTTTTAAATGGGTTTGGATAGGTAAAACTTAGGTGAATATGAAAATTGCTGAAGTTTCCAGGAAAATTGATACGTTTACTATGTACAGATTTAACGCATATTGATTGTTTTATACGTGCATTCAATTACAACCTGAGCGTGTTTAAAATAATATCGTAAAATTTAATGAAAAATAATAAAACATTTATTTCTTAAAATCCAAGTTTTACATAAGTTTCAGCGCTGTGTAATGTAGAATTTTAATTGTATAAAATAAATTAATTGTATAAATTAAATATTAATAAATTATTAACATAACTTGAGAAAAATCTGTTGCCTATTATTTTGTCGGTCTGTTCTTTGGTCTGACTGAACTAATTTCTCCCATTTCTCCACTCAATAAAAAACAATTTGGCTCCTTTTTCCATTTCCAGATATCTTCAAAACTTACAGTTCGACTGCCGACACCGGATAAGAGCAGGAACCGGGGAAACGGGAGACGGCGGCTGGGAGGTGTGCCTGGACCCGCCATACAATATGAAACCAGGGAAATGTTTAGTCTACTCCTTTGGGTAAGAAAATATGCGTAGGACTTCTGTTGCTTCTGGATTTGTATTTCTACTACACCCATGTCAGTAATTTATTTCCGCCAGTTGTGAAGTCCTTTCAATGTAGAATACCAGTGTATTGTAAGCTGTCGATAAGATTAAAAAAAATAATAACGAAATTTCGTCTCGCATGTGTGTTGGTTAGCGTACAAGGAAACAACGTAGGTATAATTTAATATTGGTGTTAATCCCGTGGACTCTAGCCCAAGCTAGGGCTTACAGCTTTTTTTTTCACTCTTGCAACACAGTCGTACACCCCATACCAGTATACTTGTTACTCGACCCTCATCAGTATTTTATGTTCGGAAGGTAAGGCACCCGTTGAATATAGCGTTTGATGTGGAAAAAAATGGCTTAAAATTAGTGAAATACGGTACAAAAATGATATTCACCCGGATGTAAATATTTGTTATTCCGTTATCCAGCATCAGTACCAACTGGTCCTTTGACGACTACATGGACAAGACCAGAAATTGTACAGTGCACTGTTTTGATCCAAGGTAAGCACTTTTCCTACGCGAAATTAGCAAAATACTGGTACCTTTCGTTTATAAGCAGCGACGAATTTATCGGAGGTCGTTAAATACAGTGTAGGCATATTCTATTCCTTCGCTTCTGAGGAATGTAACACCCCCTCCCCCAATGAAAAATGAGCATAAATAACACGTGAAACTTGACACATGCATATGCGAGTAGTAGGCTACATGTACGTGTATGTTTGCTTTTTGGCTCATACACGTAGCTTGTTCATTCGTATTTTCGGACGATACTTAATCATCCCTTCATATCATTGTCTCATTGTCACATGAATGTCCCCATTTAAATTTTTTAGTATAGGATAGATGATTAATTCTTTAACAAGCCTCATCAATTATAATAATTTCGTCTTTTTACTTGTTTCCAGTATAGGAAAAAAAGACTTCAAGCGTTCCCCAAACATATATTTCCACAATCTGGGTATATCTGGAAGCAACGAAACCAATGATAAAAAGTGGCAACTTTACACGCTTGGATCCATAAAGCGACTTCTTGGACATGAGAACGTACGTCACATACTGGTAAAAATGTTACAGACATTTTATGTCTCCTTGTTCTAAACCAACTTAAATGATATATGACATGCATGTGCATGTGACAAAGAAAATAATAGGACAAACTCAAGTATGATGTTCGAAATTTGGCTGATGAAGGCTGCATTTATCGAAAGTTCCTCTGATAAAAGGTTAATAATTTTAGTGGTAAACATTGAATAATGTTGAGTAATGATATTTCCTTAAAGGGATAATAACTCTTTGTATGAGCTCTAATATTTCACAATAAAAACATTGAGAACAACTCATAGAAATATAATATATTCTGTTTTACCACAAAAATGGCAGTTATAGCTACAGGGTATTATTCTGATATCTGAGCTTGTCTTCAGACCGCGTGACCTCCATTGACGGCTATACTCTGTTATAATCTTTTAAGAGATTTTAACAAAAAACCAAACTTTTTAGAAAAAAAAAAAAAAAAAAAAAAAAAAAAAAAAAAAAAAAAACAGGGACTAACTTTGAATGTAAAAATAGATTCATTAACCATTGGCAAGTATGGGAAAATTATTGTTTACTCTAGGAAAATTCATTTTTTTTAGCCAAAATGAAGAGTTATTATCCCTTTAATGTTAACGTAGGTCACGTAGTGGTAGAAATGTTTCAGATATTATCCAGAACGAACCAAGTGTGTCCATATGTTAGTGACATGTTTTTCAAACGTGCAATGTAATCTTATTATTATATACCAATAGTTGGACATTTTAGCTGTGCAGCAAAAACTGATTTGCTCCAAAAATAATGTTACCATGGAGTCGTCAGTGTTATTGGCCGATCGAAACCGCGGCATAAAACTTAGTTTTGTTCTCAGGTTCAAGTTTAGTGGTCATTATGATTTATACATCAATGTATTATGTCTTTTGAACGTTCGGGAATGAAATATGTGTTGCATTTTATGGTATATCCAGTTGGTACAATGTATCTCACTTGACACATCAAACTGGCAAATCTAGGGTTAAGATAAACAAGAGAGAGAGGGGGGAAAGAGCAAGCAGGAAAATGTTTGGCTGACTTTGATCGTCAATATTAAAAATACTGAAAAATTGAAAAGAATACAATTCCATTTGTGATAAGTAGGTCACTAGTATTGGTAAATTATTCTTGGGTTTGCTAAGGTTTGTTTTAATACTGTTTTATGGAGGGGAGGGTATTAATACCGAAACTAAAGGGAGTTATTGGTGGGCGGGAGCAAGTGGGCCATTCACTCGCGTTTGTGTGTATGTAAACAATTTGTTGCTCTCTCCGTCTGCATGTGTATCTGTCTAAATTGCACCCCGCTAACTTATTTATTTATTTATTTATTTATTTATTTATTTATTTATTTATTTCAGCTGATATTAATTAACTATATATTTATTTAAGGTGACACTGGACTACCTGAAAATGGACGTTGAATGGAGCGAATGGCCAAGTTTACAGGCAATGTATCGCGAGGGTGTGTTATCCCAAGTCAAACAATTTGCTTTAGAGTTTCATGGTATCCCTAAAAAGCAGGCAGATGTCGATATCATCAACAAACTGTACGAGCTCGGGTTCAGGATATTCTACACCAAAAGGAACTTCTATAATCGAGCAAACTCGGGGCTAACACAGCGCACTGTTTATATGTGCATGGAGGTGCATCTTGTTAACATCAACTTTCTGAAGCAGGACGTAAAAAGCGGACACCGCCAGTGAATCATTAACACTGTACAGGTCGCGAATAGCTGCCATCCGCTGAATACATTCCACGTATTTGTATATTAATGCTTGGCGCTATATCATGAACTTAAATGGTTACTTTTATTATTTTTCATGCTACAATTCATACTCGACCAGGCACAACAAATGTTGACAGTTATGTAATATCAAACTAAAAATGCACAATCCCTAAAGCCCCCGTCACACTTATTCGGAATCAGCAGGAATCAAGCAGAACCAGCCGGAATGACTCAATTTAAAAATTCATACTACATTCGGGAAGAAATTTCAAATTGGCCTAAATTCTTGTAAGAATACCGTTGGAATACTCAGAATGCAATGAATCCGCCTTGAATGATTCGTGCACATTTCGGCTGTATTAGCTCTTAAATGCAACTCGAATGTAGTTGGAAAACTAGGAATATCAATAATGTTGTCAGAATCTTTGTAATACACTTCGAATGCCGTACGAGTGTAGTTCGATTGCTGGCTGAAATAGGATCGAGACGCATTCGAGTTGCATTCTGGGTCTTGCCATTTCGGTTCTCCCTCGAATGTGATCAGAATGTTTCGAATGCTGTCGGAATGCCGTGAGAATATTTAGAATGCAGTCATAGTGCAGTTAGAATACTATTCAAATGCCATTCGATAATTTTCCACTTGTAATTCACTTCGCAAGTTTTTAACGTAAGCAAAACATTCGGGCCGGTGTAACAGTAATTCAAGTCCTGCGGACCTCGGTTCCTGGTAGTGGTTGTCCGTAGGACTTACATAACTTGGGAACAGTAGTCCTAAGGGGACTTAAGTTCCTGGCTCATAATTAGAGTAGGTAGGACTTGTATTACTGTCAGACTTTTATTCCTGTTACACCGGCAACAAGAATGGGAAAAAGTATTTGGTATGCACTCGGAATTTTTAGAATGCTCTTCGAATATCCACGAACGCACAAAGAATTGTCTTTCCTACGACATTCTTGCTCATTCCGCCTCTAGTGTGACGAGGGTATAAGGAATTAAAACGACTAGAGCCCTATAAGAGGAAAAAAAAGGTCCAAGGCGAAACTCCATATAAGAATGCGCTTCAAATGATCGCCCGGATTTTCAGACAGAAGAAATGTCACTAGTAGCTCACCTGCCCTAACCTAACGTGCATGCACTGCGCACTGGGATAGAGAAATCAACACCTCTGCCTTGTGCAAATACGCTACAAGTATGTACAAATACGCTGCAAATGCGGTACAAATACAGTTCGAATACGTTATAAGAGGTCACTTGAAGCATTCGCTGTAAATTTTCTCACGATAAATAAATAAATAAGTCACCAGTGGGGCAGATACATATGTAAATAAATAAATAAATAATGTAAGTTCACGAAAATGAAAACAGTGATACATGCTTATTTGATATATAAATACATGTTATTGGTTTCTTCTTTAGATCATGTATAATTGGCCATTTAACAATACATACATGTACGTTTGTCTATTATAAATGTCTATTATAGATTGCTTCTGTTTACGCGCCTGCCACGTGTATAATATATAAGATTATATAAAATCCGTGCACACATTTGGATTCTTCTTAAATCTACTGGTAACCTCGGATGTTTTGTAAATAGAGTTTATATCCAGTGGCATACATTGAGAAAACCATGATATCAAGTATTCATTATATAATATCAAATATTCATCCATTCAGTACTACTTTTGGTATGATTATAAGCAGGCTGCATCTTCGATACTGCAAGTTATAAATTATAAGATTAAGGCGCGGATCATCATTTCGAGTATAACAAATCCCAGGCATTGTTTGCGAAGTATTTGGAAGATTCTTTAAACCAATTGTAAGGGTAAGTAAGGTTAAGTTGAATTAAATTCAAACATACAGTGATGGGGAAATAGTCGTGGACGCCTCACTTTATTATTTTGGTTGAAATCTTGGAATTGCATTAATCTGAGGGGTTCAAAGATCAGATGGTTTGGTATATACAGTGCATGGAAGATCCACTTGGCCTCCATCTTTTGATGCGATGAGGGGAGGGGGGTACAGTGTATGTATATTTTCATCATCGATGCTTTGTACTACGTACATTGATTTATGTCTACACAATGTTTGATTAATTTTTCAAGACAAGCAGATACTCACGAGGAAAAGTCTACTGGTTACGACTTTAAATATGTTTTGTTTCTGTTATGTCTTTTAGTGAATGCAATTTTTCTCTGCTGGATATCTGCGATCTTGGAGTGCTTTTTATAGACAAACACCAGAAGGTAAAGCGAAGAAGGGGGAGATTACTCGACTGAGGTGTAAGCGACAAATGTTATCTTAATTTTTACCTCCGCCAAGGAGTTTTACCCCTGTTTGTCTGTTTGTCTGTCATCAACATAACTCAAAAAGTTACGGACCGATTTTCATGAAATTTTCAGGGTAGGTCAGAAATGGGTTAACTTAGAAGTGAGAACTTAGTAGTTTTTGGTGGTGATCCGGATCAATTATCAATCAATAATAATAAAAAAATTGCTACCTTGGCGGAGGTCTGCGCTCTCGGAGTGCTTTTCTAGTAGAAGAATATTATCAGTTTGAAAACAGATTCCAGACAAAAAGGGTTCCACATATGACTGCCATATCAATCGTGGCTCCAGGATGGGGGTGGGGGTGGGGGTTTAAAATATTCTGAACGGTAAACAGTGATGGGTATTTTTACTAAAACGGGGGTGTAAATTGTCTTTGTTTTGTTGTGTTTTCTTCTTTTTCTTTTTTCATACCGTGTTTTTGATGTTGTTGGTGTTGTGTTTGGGGGGAGGAGGGGGAATAAAGAAAATCCAGTGAGTACCCCCACAGTTTGAACCAAGGGATTCTTAATTGAATATTGCCAAGGCACAGATAGTAGTTATAATTGTTTTCTCTGTAAACATTTTCACATTTTTCTGTCGTAGAATTAAAAACTATGTCCGGACGGAGAATGTGGAAACTCTTGGCGTTTTTCCTAGTCGTTTTGCTGGTGGGACTTTCCGTCCTCTGGATGCGTGAAGGTGTGTTTTTTTAAACAGATTTCTAATGAAAACATTTTGGCAATCATATATTTTGTCTTAAATAAGATTAATACATACGCGACATAGAATCAATTACAAAAACATGCAAGAATAATTGTCTAACTTTTATAATTTAGCAAATGACGTGGGCATCCTTAGATCGACATTGAAAAATGGCACATTCATTAGCAGTCGGTTAGATTTGAAATTGGTAGGCATCTTTTCCTGCAGAAATTCTCTTTCGTTAATTCTCTCTCTCTCTCTCTCTCTCTCTCTCTCTCTCTCTCTCACATGAAGACCTGTTTTTACCGCCGTTACCGAAATATTACATTAGTTTTGTCTACTTACAAGTATGTACAATGTAAGTGCACAGGTGAATGTTTTAAATGTGTCAATATGTCACTCTTGGGCTCTTCGTGTCCCAATTTCAAACTTTATGCCGCGTATAAGGGATAACAACTCTTCGTTTTGTCAGGGAAAGTGTCAAGAAACGGATTTTCCCGGGTATTTGAAGATGTTCCCATACTTGCCAATGTTTAATAAATGCGTTCGGACATTCAAAGTTAGTCTATTGTTGTTGTTGTTTTTTTTCGTTTTTTTTTAATAATGCCATAAGATATTATTACGGAGGGTAACCATCTATGAAGGTCAATATGACCCAATGGCAAACAGAGATATCGGAATAATTTAAAAAAATTTTTTTTGGTAAAATGGAATTTTTTATATTTCTGTGCGTTGTTTACAATGTATTTATTGTGAAATTTTGAATTTCACGTGAAGGGTTGTTATCCTTTTGATATGAGAAATGAAAAGCCCTCGAGTATGATATGGGCACCGTAGAAAAATCTATAATAATCTACAGTATTTGACTGCGGTATCTCTTGATGTTATGTAATAGAGTTCAATGTATATGAATAAACATGCGCGCAAGAAGCATTTATCTCTTGCAAGTGTTTAAGATTGATTCTAAGAACAGTGGTTACGGATATAACTTTCAAAGGAGCAACAAAACCATGCTCCGTCTGTACTTACAATATCAGAATTTATTTTTCAAGGCAGGAGAGAGATCCCAATTTAAAAATGCAACAACGATAAAACCTACTACGCTGCGATCTTTCTACAATCTAGCAGACGACATTGACTTCTCAAGAGAAGCAGTTCCGACACTGTCAAGGGATGATGCAATAGCAGATGAGATTGAACTCGACTATTTCAGGTACACCCGACGAAATATTCCCACGCATAAAAATCTTAAATAAAAGGCAACTCTGGGCAACTATTTACTTCTATCGTAACACGACTGATAATAATAACACTATTAATTTTGTATAACCTCACTGTCCATGTGTTTCAACGCTCTATATAAAGTACAGTTAATAAATATGTAATAGTTTTTGGAAAAAATATTTTTGTATTGATTTCTCCATCTTTTTATTACTCTTTAAAATGATCATTCTTTCATTTTGCATTTTTATCTTTAAAAATGGTAAAATGATGCTTTTCAATATCAAGATATCTTCAGAAACTACAATTTGACTGCCGCCGCCGGGTCAGAGCTGGTTTCAACGAATTGAAAGATGGCGGTTGGGAGGTGTGCCTTGACCGACCATACAATATGAAGCCGGGGAAATGTTTAGTCTACTCCTTTGGGTAAGAAGGTGATAAGATATGCCTCCCATTATATCTGAGAATAACCAGAAGTTGAAAATACTTTGATGGGGGAGGATCGATTCTTTTTAAAAGACCTTTTTATGTACAAACACTGGACAAAAGAAGTGTCACCCCTACTGAGCCAATACTATGGGGGAGATAAATGACTGTGGAATGGTATGCTCTTGGTATCATTTTATAAACATCAAATTTCACAAAAAATCACAAAATGAGAACAAAATATACATTCTACCAAAATATGCAATTTCAAGTCCAAAATTAGTACTGGTGGCAAAGCCACGTGACCTAATAATAG